GCAGATAATCTATTGCAATTAATCAGCTAGCTAGTGTGAAATGCATGGGGAGTGATTATACTATCATACACAATACAGTCAGCATGAAGCACTTGTCAAGACCAATACATCAAAGTTTAATTCAGTAATAGAATGAATTAGAGCAAAATGAAACATTCTGTTCTCCAAGAAACACAGCACCCATAGGAAGCTTTTTTTTCTGAAGGCTGCAGAGAGAAACCAGAGTGTACTGAGGAGTTGTTTTTATGAATAAAATTGCAACTTGGTTCCAACAGAATGCTGAGAGTACTTTTCCTTGGTGTTCTTATCAAGGAGAGGACAACACTGAAGTGCTGTGCCTGTCTTTACTATTCCATAAAAGCAAGTGATTAATTGGAACGTTTTCCAGTGGGACTTCTGCTTATGCTTTGTTCTAGTGGAGATCTCTCAGCGACTGGAGGAGGGAGGTGGCTTTGCCAGTCGTTCTGAAGGCACTTGTCCTTCTCGTTGAGAAGCAATAAATATCATACCCTACCTTCTTTGAGGGTTCCAAGCCGCTGTCCCAGTGAAAGTGTGTATGTGTTTAAAAACCAGATGTAAACCACTTTGAAATCTTTTGCTGACACTAATTTAAAGGGGTCATAGGTTCTGTCTCCTAGTGGTGGTGTTTCTATTCTAGCACTTCCGATGCTGGAAAATTATGCTTTTTTAATAGAATTGATTAGCCTCAAATGGGGCACAGCAGCAATTGTGCAGCAAGTGCTGAAGCGGTTTTGTCTGTTGCACAAAGGGAATGATCTTGATTACCTGGCTCCATTTTCTTTGAAATGATTGAATGCTAATAACCTGGTGGCTTATGGGTTTTTAATTTTTAGAGAGAGATATGCCTTACTGGGAGGAGCAAAGAAAGGTCGCAGTAGATGTGCATCTGTTTCTTGCATATTTTAATTTGGTAAATGAATGGGTTGATCTTAAGTATATTAAATGTAAAATTCTAAAGCAAAGGTAAGTCTTGGCCATTGATTGCACAGGTATTGTAAATGAGGAAATGCTCACCCAAGTTTAGCTACACAGCAGCTCTGACAAGGTAGCATAATATTTCTAGGGAATGCAGATTTCTTGGGAAGACTGTAATCAAATAGTCAAAAAGAATTGTACGCTGGATCATCAGTCACAGCCAGTGTCTTAGCCCCCCCCCACCTCTTTCTATCACCACCTTCCCATTTATTGTGGCAAGAGTAAAATATAATGGGATTTGTGAAAACTGAGCAATGCTTAATCTCTCAGGAGAGTTTGTATACATTCTTTTCACTTCCTTTGGCTTCATGAATACGTACATATACAGGATGTGTAATTATTACAACACCTACTTTTACAAAGACTGGATACTTTGTTTTTCAATTTACATGGTTAAATCCTAATCAGTGTAAAGACATGCTGTTCCTTTCTCCCACATGAATTCAAAGGTATGGATGTCTACTGAGAGACACAATAGTACTGGTGTTCCCCTGGATGTACAAGTGATTGTGTAAAGCAGTAATGTAACTTTTTTCTTTTTTTGTCGTGTGAGGCACACTAAAGATGAATGATTACTGTGTGTTTTCAGAAGGGGGGCTGTCTCAACCAAAGGTCTATTTTGGCAAAGCTGGCTTTTTCCAGGTCAAGAGGATTAGTGTTCAACCAAACCAGGCAATTCCTCACCGCAATATGACAGTTCTAATATTCATTCTCTTGTGAAATTAATATCAAATTGTAGTTGCAGCATGTCTTATTTTACAATTATCTTCTGAGGGAAAATTTTCTGTATATTGCGTTGTGATCATTTTGCCACTGTGCTGTGAGGAGTTTTGTGTTGGAAAGACATAGGTCACAGTCAGGAGATCCAAATCAGAACTTTACTTTTGGTTTAGTAGGATGTAGTTCACGGAGCAAGATGCATCAGAATACTGAGAAATGTGAAAAGATAATCTGGTGCCTGGTGGAAGGGAGACAGGAGGAAGAGAGCAAGCTGTGTTAGAGAGAAACCCAGAGTGTGTAAATACAAACATGTTCTGAGAGGTTTATGTTTTGGTTTTTGGTTGTTTTTTTTTTTTTCATTTAATGAGACATTTTTGCATCTTGCAGGTGGCATTGGTGACATCATGAAATCTAGTCAAAACATGTAAACTTGAGAATGCCAGCAATGTAATTTGGGAAACTTCTTTTGAGTACAGGCTGTTACCAACAGCACTTTGGAGTGTGAAGCCACTGGAAATGGACTTAGATACCTTCCCCACAAATTAACAGTAGCTGCCCTTCGTTTTTCCATAAGCCTTATCTGTAATAAGGGGTACGCATAATCGGCAGTTTCCCTGTATAGAAGCCATTAGGCAGAAAATAGACAATCTCTTGTTTGTGGCCGGTGTAAGCCTTCAGGTTGGTAGTGACGTTTAAGGGCAAGCTCAGGGGGGAATATCCTCCAGGCTCCTGGGCACAAGTGAACATTTTCCTCAGACTTTTCAGTGCTAGGAGGAGAACAGGAATCAGTGATTTGATAGAGACAGAATGGAGCAGATGTCAGGGGGAGGGGGAAGGCACTTAAGGAGCAGGAGGAGAAATAGATATGAATACAGGCAAATGCACTCATGCTAGGGGGAAAAAAAAAAATCACATGCAAAAAAAAACCCCAACCAAAACAACCTAGAAACCCAAATAGGCTGAAGAGTGTGGCGTCATTGGCATTATGCATCCTTCTCCCAGATGGTAGCCTTTGTAGCACTACAGGAGCTGAGCCTGAGGCTCTTTATGTTCCCTTCTTGTGGGGGAGTTTTGTCTCACACTCGTATTCCTGCAGGGGATCAGCAGCCATGAAGGCTGGTCGAGATCTCAGATGTACATGCAGCTTGCCCTGAAGTCACTGGGAGCAGGGTGCAGTTGGGTTGTATTGAAATTTGAAGTGGTTTGTGTGGGGTTTATTAGAAATACACTTGTCCTTGTGCTTCATTTGCATAAAAATAGCCTGGGTTGCTCAGGCAATTGCTGCTAACAATATAATTATGCTTGATATAGTTTCCCTCCTTAATCTTAAACCAAAGAACTTTTTAAAGGCTTTTGGTACCTTGGGGTGTCTCTTCCCTCTCCTGCCTCTTACATGTACCACACACGTAGTGGAGTTTCTGAAAAAGATAAATGAATTCCGTTGCCTCTAGTGGTGTTTCTGAGATGCAGAGAAGGAAAAGGCCACTCATTTTGTAGGGGAATGGTGTAATCAGTAGTGTGTGTTCTGCCTTGCTGGATAATCAAAATACTTACCAAATGTAGTTAAGGTATTCCACTTCGCTTTTGCTGCAGCCTGAAAACTCTGGAAATGTGGTTATGAAGTATTAAATTGGCTCTTGTTTTTTTTGTTAGATACTGAGAGGTATAATGTTTCCTTAGTCCCCTCAAGTGATACTTGATTTTGAAAATAAATAAGCAAGCCCAAGTTAACTATTCTCCAAGGATTTCCAATATGCCCCATCTTCTGTTTTGTTTCGCAAATTGCAAGAAATAGAGCCTTTCTGTCTTGGGCAGTGCTGAATGCATTGATGCTTAATAGTAAGAACCAATTGTAATTTGACGCTGTTTCGGAAGTGAAGCGTGTTGGTGTGTGTGTCTAAAGAAAGTCATATGATTTGATTTTAAAAGACGTTTTTAAAAAAAGTGTTGGCCTTATTCATTCCCGTGGCAAGTTTCAGATACTTAAAAAAAACCAAACCAACCCAAAACACTTGCTGCACTGTATTTAACTACTGTGCAGTAATAATCTACAGTAGTGTAGTGTCTCTCTGGTGTTCTGCACTGTACCATATCATGTTTTGTTGTACTTTTCATACTTCTTTGGTATTACTTCCCCATTCCATGCTGTTCTGAATAGCAGGGAATTTGCAACCTTAAGGATCAAGCTGTTTCCACTGGCTCCTGTGCTGTGGCATGTGAACATGTGGAGCTACTTTAGGAATGACTGTAATGTGGTGGCTTGTGCTCTGGGTATCCATTTTGTATTCTTAGTTAGCAAAAGGATACTTGAATGTGAGAATTTTATTATCCTAGAAGAACCAGCTGCGTTTTTATTCTATTTTTTTTTCAGCTTGTCATGAAGATTGCACAGTTTAAGCATATTTTCTAAACCTCTTGTAGTTACTAAACACTTTCAGATAGGGTACTTTCAGATGTCTTTATGCTTCTGTCAAAGTCTGCACTGATGAAGAGACAGCTGATTTAGAGAAAAATCTTTCAATTTGAAAATTGTTGCTAGAGACCCTGGTGTATTTATGCCTGCCCTGCTGTATAGTGTCAGGGGGCAGGTTCCAAAGTGATGGTGTGTGTGAAATGTCATTGCAAATTACCTTTCCCTTTGAGCTCCGTAAACAGAAAACGTGAAACAAATTTTCTAGTGTAACCAAATTAATTACTAAAGTAATTTCAGTAAAAATATCTTATTCCTATTAGACTGCACACAGCCAGTGCTTACTGGATCTCTGAGACCTGTGAAAGAATGGGGATGAGTTATACAATCAGCAGTACTTCTGCTAGGTTCTGAGTATAGAAGTATACATTTATAAAGTACTTGTCTTACTAATGCAGTTTTTTGGTTCCTGTAATGTGAAGCTGGAAGATACATAGTTCATGTTTGTAGAAAACAACATTCACTTTGGTACAAAAAATAGAAGGAAAACTTGGGTAATGTCCTGCTGTAAATTTGTGTGAATTCTTGTTTGCTTTTGACTGATATTTCTGTCTGGATTTTCTGATACAAAGACCTCTTAATGCTTTTTAATTGAGAAGGTTGGCTTGGTACCATCTTTCAACTGCATCAGATGGGCCACACCAGCTCCAAGATCCTGTGTGGAATTCAGTCTGCCTGGTGTTAGGTGTAGCTGGGAAGCAAGCAGTGTAGCCTTTGAGGGGAGAAAAAGTGTTACAGAATAGAAGTTTGCAATTAGTCATTGGCTGCTGCGTTTTTAATAGAAAGCATAATTTAGCAATTTTTTTAAAATCAGGTGCTCTGTGGATGTGTATAGTCTTAAATCCCCACTGCAAGTTGGAGCAGAAGGCCAGTTGGCTAAAACAGCTGAAAAAATGGAACAGTGTGGATGTTTGTCCCTGGGAAGATGGAAACCATGGAAACGAGCTGCCCAATTTAACCAATGCTTTGCCTCAGGGTGCAAATGCTAACCAAGGTGAGCCTAAACATATGCACTGACTGCAACATATAATATAACCTCTATCTTATATACTCTAGCCTTGCAGAATTCAGCACTGTTTCCTGGGACAAGTAACTTTCTTGTTGAGGAATGACCAGCCAAAATTATTTTCACTAATACTATCCTTGCAGAAAGGATAAACAGGTGGGGTTTTTTTTGTGCTGGGGCTGCAGTGTTTCCAAAGCAAGTATTTGTGTTTAGTTAGGTCTTCTAACTTTTCACTTGGTCCTTCTAAATACCCGTTGCATGAAAAATTGGATGTCCTTGAAGTATGCCATGTAAAAACCTTTTTCTTTGCTTGACTATAATCTTACATTCCTTCTGGTGTTGGGGTTTTTATTTTGTTTGCAGTTACAAAGCCTTTCATACCTGTTTAAAGAGGGATCAGTTGCAACTACATTAAACTTGAGTGTGTGAGAAACTAAAGCAGCTCTCTGTGGGATGTGCTCTGTATGTGCAGTCTGCATTGCCAGGTGTGTGGCGGGTGCAGAGGCAACACTCCCATCTTGGAGGAGGTGTCTCTTCTTACTCGATGTCATGCTTTCTAATCTAAAATGTGATTATCAAATCTGACAGAAGCCTTATCCAGTCCTCTTCAGGCGAAGATTGCTACCTTGCTAATAACTAGGGAAGATGAAGGATATTTGCCTGGGGAAAAAACCCTCATAATTCTCAAAACCCTCAGTATTTTTGTGTACATTTCATATAGTTATGATAAAATTAAATGCTTGGGAGGTGGCAAATCTGGAATTAGAAAGATTTTTCCTTGTTTCTGTTTTCTTGGAAGATTACCACTGAAGGAAATAGACTTGGTTCATTTTTAAATCTCACAGCTAGCCAGGGACAGTTCATTCAGCATATAACTCCCTACAGAGGTGTTTTTCTTTCTGTATCTTGATATTCAGCCCAGCCTGGGCAGGGTAGTGGTAACTCTGACATGGCGTCTCAATGTTCATAGACATAGTGCCATGTCAACCAAGCGTTTTTATCATAGGAAGATGTCCAGTAAGGATTATGTCAGTCCTATGGCCTCAGTATCTCACTGTCTTTACAATGTTTGTATATGAAAAAAAAATTATACAAGTGCTCAAAGTTAATGTCACTTCTCAAAGAGAACAGCTGAAAATCTTTCGTGTGATGGTTATCTGTCCCTCATCCTGGCAGCTCTGGGTCTGAGGAGGAGAGAGGCTGGGGATGCTTGAGTAGCTGTGTGCCATATATTTTCTAGTTCATTTTTAGGGGAGTTCTGTACATGCCATTGAATGTCCTTCGTCTCTAGCTGTTCCCTCTGCAAAGTCCTGTTTAGCATCAGCCATGCTGGTTTGTAGATCACTCTCTCTGAATGCAAAGTGAATGGCACACACTTTGTCTGAGCTGTTGGGTATTAATAGGATGTGAAATGTCATCTGCGGGCTGCTCAGTGCAGAGGGGGGACAAGGCAGGCTGCTGTAGGTGGGGAGTTAATGAATAGGCGGAAGACAAGACTACTGTGAATGACTGATTCACATATGAATGAGTAAAAGCTGATGCAGCTTTCTGAACTTGTGAAAATGACAGATTCATCGAACAGGCCACATCGGACGGTGTTCACTCGAGCCATTGAGGCATGCGATCTGCACTGGCAGGACAGCCACTTACAGCACATTATCAGCAGTGACCTATACACCAACTACTGTTACCATGACGACACTGAAAACTCGCTCTTTGACTCTCACGGGTGGCCCCTCTGGCATGGTAAGTGGCTAAACCGGAAAGACGTTTCCATGACTTGCTGCTTTGTTCATTTTCTATGGTATTATTTTGGGGGGGATGGTGGGAAGATGAATGAAAAGCCTGGCAAAAAGAACAGAGGCTTCCTTGAAATGCTGGCTCAGAAGTAGTCCTTTAAGTCTCTCTTGCATAGTTCTAAAAACAAAAAAAAACAAACAAAAAAGCCCTTTTGAGTAACCTAGCAAAACAGGCCGTTGCTGACATGGAAGCATTGCTATTCCTCAATTATTTTCTCCATTTTAGAACATGTTCCTACAGCCTGTGCGAGGGTGGATGCATTACGATCTCATGGATACCCACGAGAAGCACTGAGGCTAGCAATAGCTATTGTTAATACACTAAGAAGGCAGCAGCAGAAACAGCTGGAAATGTTCCGGGCTCAGAAGAAAGGTAAATGTGGGGAAGAGAGAAAGGCAAAGGACATGTTGAGGTGACAGTAACACCAGACTGGAACTTTGCATGTGAAAACCAATTTTGAAACTAAAGTGAAAGAGGTGACTTTTAACTCCTTGGTCCAAATGATCATAGTGGTTATGTCATGTTCCGGATGTTGGAGGTTTCCTGTAAGGTGGGTTGTGAGCTGTGCAGGGCAAGGGCTCTGTTCTTCCTTCTGCAATATATCTAGCATGATGGGGCCTTTATCCCAATCAGGGTTTTTATTTGTATTCACACTGTGTAATTTACAGACTTTTAAACAGAGCTTTGCATTTGGCATGTCAGGTGTTTAAAATGATTTTTTTTTCTCTGACATAGTTTAGCTTAACTATGTATTTTTGAGATGGAAGCCTAAAGTTGACATTGAAGATAACAGTGAGGCAAAGTCAGCACTACAGAAATTCATCAAATCTGGCAGTTTGTTCCAAAAAAGTATCTTAATAATGGTTAAAATTTTAGTGTTTATGAATAGAAGTGGATTGCTTTTTTGTTGTTGTTGTTTTGAAACACTGATTTTTATAAGGTGTTCTGTGATGGTCCTCTGAATACTACCCCTGGGTTTTTTGAAGGAACATTCTCCTTCAGATACAGTTTCTATGCCATGTGATCCTTGCTACCCAAAATTATCCTGCACTGAACTTTGTCATTAATTTGAAGAGGCAGTGGAAGAAGCGGATGGCTTTGTGGTTAAAGAATGCACGTGGTAAAACTGGAATTACTTTCTCAGCTGCTACAAGAATCACGTAATTCAAATTCTATTTTAGATCTTCGTTGCTACTCTTAAGTGTGTGTATTCTCATGCATTGTAGGCAAAAATACCAGTGTGAAGTCCATATGTGTAAATTTTTCAAATGTGTGTACACATGTTTTCCCAGAAATGAATATTTAGAAGATAAGGTAGACACCTGACTGCAAAAAAATCACCTGGCAGTTCCTATGTGCCTCTGTTTTGTTTTTTTTTCTGCAATACACAAGGAGGAAGGGGTTTTTTTGGGCACTGTTGTGGATCCTAGATTTGAACAAAGCTTAAAAGCACGTTGTATTATTACTTAGGAGAATTTGCTAAGTCTTTTTATCATGTAGTCTATCTTTCCTGAACAAGTGTTCCCTTGAAAGCTTTGCAACTTTTCTAGCTTCTCAGACGAGAGGGCTGAGAAAGGAGGGGCCTGTGTCTGTGTGGTATCTACACATTCAATGTTTCTGTTAAGTTCCTTTCCCTGTGATCAGTTCCTATATCTGTCAGTTAATGTTATGCTATTATAAATAAAAAATTGAGTGTATGAAATGTGATCCATCCTACCTTGAAGCAAAGAAGTTTGTTGTTTCTATGTTGTCACTCATTGCTTTTTAAATTTTTTTTCTTCTTATGTGAGGAATTTTTTTTAAAAAAGTTTTCTAAGACCGTAAAATGTGCTGGTGTTCTCTGTAAGCAGATGAATTCTGCAGCTACAGTCCAGCTTTAGGTTTTAAGTCAGCAAACACCACATGCTTCTACTTAGCTTTTATTCATGTGACTGATCTAATGTATGTGAAACCACTTACGTGATTTAAAGTTAAATGTCCATATGACTGGAGGACTGAAGTCTGTTTGACATGACATGAGTGAAGCTCGTAAGTAGGCACAATAGAATAAATAGAACATAAATGAGTCAATAAGAAGTCACTGTGATTAATCCTTTTTTTTAATGTTACTTCTGCCTGGCATCTTTAGTGCATGCTATTTGTTAGTAAGACAATGACTTACTTGTTTGTTTTTAAAATTATGTATCAGTGGATGATTTAAAAAAACCTCACCCTCCTGACAGTCTGACTGTTTCATTTTGTAGCTCCACACATTTAAATAGGCAAGAAGCAGGATTTAAAAGCTCTGTAATAATATAGTTACTCAGAAATACAGCATTTTGTGAACATGAGAGAGCAGAGGCAGGTACAAGTTAGTGTATAACAGGCAGAGAAACCAAGAATCCTTAATGGCTTGTATATGGTTTTTAACTGGTTGCCCATAATGCATCTGATCTCTCATAGTTCAGTCATGTGTGTGTCTAGGATGAAAAATGTTGGGAGCTGGAGTCAAAGGGCAGGTGTTGCCTTAAGACCCTTAGTAAAAAAAAAAAAGTGATTTGGGGAATCTCTGACATCTGTTACCACAACCACACTTCCTTCAATTCACTGTGCTAAACAATTTTTTCGTGTTCTAACTGAATGATGGGTGAGGGCTACAAAGCTAAGTATCTGTGAAAGTATTTGTTGACCAAAAGTTTAGCATGACAAAAAATGAACTCGATCCACTTAAAGGACAATTTTTTTTCTTGTATACCTCATTTAAACATTTTATTCTTTTTTTTAGAGAAGCTGTCATCCTGAGTTTATTACTTCAATAAATATTTAGAGGCAGAATAAGCTTGTATTTTATTTATGAATTGGAGCATATTTTAGAATATTTTCATTTATTCCAGTGCCATCAGATTAACTTAAAATCTAAAAATGATACCACATCTTTTTGAGTGGGGAAACTGTTGTGAATATTTTACCAAAAAAAGGCTTTGCTGTAATTTTTCAGCAGACATTTTCAGAAGAGTTACTGGTATTGAGTAAGAAATTTCAAAAGACACTGCAGTCGAAATTTTTGACCCATAATGCACTTCGCTAGTGTTTAAAAAGGTTTGGCCTTTGTTCTTTTTCTTCTTTTCCTCTTTTAACATATTCACAAAGGGCAATGAATTCACCCTGAAAGATACTATTTTCTCCTTCTAAGCAGAAGCTACTGGAAATACTTTGAATTCTATACTGAGAGCATTTTATCAGTTTTATAGTTGTTTTGAAGGGCTAATATGCTCTCTCTTTCCCCTCCCTCCTCCCTCAATCTTTTCTGTCACAGAACTTATCCACAGAGGAGTAACGTCAATAACTAATCTTGAAGGTTGGGTGGGACACCCTTTGGACCCCATTGGCACTCTCTTCAGTAGCCTGATGGAAGCCTGCAGGGTGGATGATGACAGCTTCCACGGATTCGCAGACTTCATGGGTAAGACAAAGCAAAGGGAGCAGTCTTTGAGATGTCTTCATTTACTGGAGGCATCTTGCCTTTCTGAATCAGATTCAAAGTTGGTGTTCTTATAAGAACTCACATTTGTATTCCTTTAGAAAACACAAGGGAGAGAAAATGTTTAAAGTAAATATGAAAGCACTTTAAAAATTACCAGTTACTCATTCTTGAAGATAATTGTGTTTGTCACACTTGAATTAAAACCAAATCAGTCTTTACCATGGTAGCCCACTCCATATACATTGCTCTGTCCTCTTTCTGAGAAATTGCAGGAAATCACAGGATCAGAGAATTGTTGGTTAAAAAGCACCTCTGGAGATGATCTAGTCTACCTGTTCTGCTCAGAGCAGGGTCACCTGGAGCAGGTTATCCAGGACTGTGTCCAGTTGTGTTTTGAATAACCTCTTGTGGTGTTCAATCACCCTCACAGTAAAAAAATATTTTCTTACGCTCAGATGGAATTTCCTGTATTTCAGTTTGTGCCCATTGCCTCTTGTCCTGTCACAGGACACCACTGAGAAGAGGCTGGCACTGTCATCTTTATATTCTCCCATCAGATATTTTTGCATTTTGGTAAGATCCTCCTGAGCCTTCTCTTTTACAGGCTAAATAATCCCACCCATGTCACTTTCATTGTATGAGAGATACTACAGTCCTTTAATTATCTTTGTGGCCCTGCACTGGATCTGCTCCAGTATGTCCATATACTGGGGGGCCCACAACTGGACACTTCAGGTGTGGGCTCACCAGTGCTGTGCAGAGGAGGGAGGATGACCTCCCTCAACCTGCTAGTAACAATCTTCCTAATGCAGCCCAGGATGTCATTGGACTTCTCAGCTACAAGTGGTGACAAAATACTTGAAATTGTTTACATACATGGTCTATAAATGATATTAATTGGAAAGTAGTGTTGCAGTATTGATGCACGATTTAGGATAGGATGTGTACATCCATTTTAATTTAAGTATTTGCTTCCCAGGAGCTTAATGGATTAAGTCCCTATTCTCAGTCTCTTTCCACCTCTGTGATAGCTTCTCATCATCATCTGTGTGGACAGAAGCTGGATTCATCCCTCTAACTGCAGCTCTTCTATATGCACATCCTTTATCTTCTTGGGGCTTTACCTCAAAACTCCTTTTATTTAATTAGATTTTCTTCAATAAGTTTCTAATCCCATATCCAGCAATTGTGGAAGAACTTCTAATTAAAAGAAATTGGAAATCGGATTCTTTGCAATTATTAAAAAACCAAAAACAAACAAACAAAACCAAAACCACAACCAAAACAACCGCATGAAAAAAAAAAGTGTGTGTTGAAATGTAACTTTGTCCTACGCACGCATATCCAATCTACCAAATACATTCAGCTTTCCCATTTGCTGCCGTTGTCCATCTTACATCTGTCCATTATGACCTTTAGTTCCCAAATTAGACTATAAACTGCTGTAGGCTGGAATAGTGTCATGTCATATGGTGTGTCTGTGAAATGCCAAATGAATGGGTAGTACTCTTTAAAGCAACTTATGACTTGGTGTGTGTGGAATTTACATGTAATCTTTACTAAAATAAGGACTTCTAGTGTTAATAATACACATATTTACCATAAATACAATGGTAACAAATATGCCTGAAAAGAGTGCTAGCAAACAGAGGATGATTTAAAGTTGTGGGGTTCCCAGGCCTATTGTATTTGCACAACCTAAAAGCTACAACCAAAATCTATGCAAGTGGATAGGTATCTTTCCATTCCTCTTACACATCAGGGCTTTAAGGAGATAAAGAAATGAGTGGGGAAAAAATTGAAACAGATCTTCCCATTTTGGCCTCATTAACACAAAGCTAGCGAAACTGCCTGTCTCTAAATCGTGCAGTTTAAAAATGAAAACTTTTATTTTTACTGGAGTGGGTTAGTTAAAACCTGATTGCTTTGTGTATTTTTGCCAAGTGGATGGGATATTTTAGATTAGATTCTTGGATTTTGAGATAGTGCTAGTAATTTAAATCGTTAAAAAAAATTAATACTAACAGAGGAATATAACATTTGTGTATGGTTTTATAGGCACATTATGGGTTAGAATGATTTGCTGATGTGTTTTTCTTTGTGTTACCCTTTACAGAGAACATGGGGCACTGCAAATCTCTGGAGTACCAGCACCTGCCTGCACACAAGTTTCTAGAAGAAGGGGAATCTTATTTAACACTAGCTGTGGAAGTAGCATTGATAGGGTTGGGACAGCAACGAATAATGCCAGATGGCTTGTATGCACAAGAGAAAGTTTGTCGAAATGAGGAGCAGCTCATTTCTAAGCTACAGGAAATTGAATTGGATGATACTCTGGTGAAGATTTTTCGAAAACAAGCAGTCTTCCTATTAGAAGGTAGCTCAATAAGGATGCTAACTGCTTCTTTAAACTGTCTTTGCTTACACAAACACACAGAACTAGTATTCCTGTGGAAACTGTCTTATATACTTCAGATGTTTTTTTGACTTAGAACTCCAGCAAAATTTTGTTTCTAATCTCTTATGAAAATCAAACGTACTTCAGGTATCACAAAGCTGTGGAGATAAGGCATATACTGATCTATAAGCCTTTTGTTTTAATTTTGATTATGTTTTGTTCTTTAGATTTGTTGCTTGTCGGAATTAAATATTATAGACATCAGTTATCATCAACAGTTCTCAGGTAGCAAGATTCTAAGTGTTCCTTGTATCCTGAAGAAAAGGAGTGTCAGCTTTGTAAATGCATAAAGATTTTTACCTCTGTTCCCAAGTGAAGAGCTTCGAAAATTCACTTAGTGTTGCTGGGACAGAAATGTAATGTTTTGTGTGTAGCAATTCAGAAAACTACTTGCCCTGAAGTTGTGTCATATGTGAAAATTGAAATGTGTCATCAAATATTGAGGCTTAAGCCCTAGTCTTGTGTCTAAATTTTGATCAAGACAAACCATTTGTGTTTGAGAATTAGCCAGTGTGTTACAATAAAATCTGTATGAAAAGTGCATACTTTTGCTTTAGCTTTTAAGAAGGCTTAACATGTATCACTTAATCCTCATGTTCAGAGAGTAGTCTCATGGGTTCTGATGTTGTCTTTTGGGGTTTTTGCTTTTTTAAATGGAAGAAAAAAATTTAGAGGAGCCTGTTAGCCAAAGGTGTGGTCCAAGTTTTAAGTACTTGCCCAAGGGATCGTGGGAGGTGTGGTACTGCTCTCTTGGTAAATTGTGAAGACTCTTATGAAGCAGTTTGTCTTTTAAAACTTCCTCTGTAATGAAGAGGTGCCATATGTTGTTTAGGGTTCTCAGCTTTGGGTCACTATTTTTGTCCAGATACTTGAAGAATTTGGTACCTACTGATGGTGCCATTTAAAACTGCAGAGAAGCCACACCACAGGGAGAGCTTCTGTTGTGGTGTGGCTGTACTGTGGCTTTATGGCCTTTGGACAAGAATAGCTCCTAGCTGGATCCTGCTATTAATCATCATACAGGGATCCTATGGATTATAGAGTCAATTTGCTGCATTTATTTATTGGTAAGGATGCTTTATGAGGAAAAGGCAGGATTTTTATAAAGTGTTCTCTGATAATTCTGGTTTACTACTTGGATCACTGAAATTCTTTCAATGTTTTCTCAGAGCAGTAAACAAGTGATCATAGCAGGAAATCTTCTAATATGACTACCTACAAAATTTCTGTGGTGAGCAGTGTGCAACGATGGTCTTGCATTACCGCGTGCTGAGAAATCTGGCTTTCCTGTAGTAGCTTCAGTTTACTCCAGGTTAGGCAGAAACTGCTAGCTCACATGGAGGAAAAACTGTTCAGCAATTTAAGGTGTTAATCATATCAGTTGTGGTTTTATAGTTAAAGTCCTGTAGATATAATAAAGAAAGCTTAATCCAATATTAAGCTGATTTCTATGCTGTTAATGCAGATTAATATTTGCTGTATATAGCTACCACTTGAGTGTGTGGGAAAAGAGAACATATGACTGTTTTGCAAGAGCTGTTCTAATTTTTTGCTTGACATTAATGTTAATGGCAGAATATATTTTCATATAAATGCTTTGTCATGTATTCTTCATGTCCTAACTGAGTTTCTGACTGGACCACAAACTGGCGAACATACATGAAACGGCTTCTTTCACTGAAGTAGTGATAGCTAGTTTTGAATGTCTTTCAACTTTATTTTAAATGATTGAGATGCACTATCATCTGCTGAATCTTCCTTGACATTTCCTTTGTAATCGGACCCAGTCTTCAGAAATACCCACCTATGGAGCTCAGAATTTTTTCGTGCTTAATGATTTTTATCTTTGCATGTTGTATGAGGGTACTAGTCAGCAAAACATTGCTGAAACAACTTGGCTGTTTCTACTTGTCTGCTCTCATCTGCTTCAGTGTGGTTGGCCATGTTAGTTCAAACCACTGCTGGAAGCTGTTCAAATGACACACATGACTCTGCAGCAAAGAAGTGTGCTCACATGGTCATTCATCCATCCATCCAAGTGTGGTGGGTCGGAGTCTCTAGTAGAAGTAGGTAGTAGTAACTTCTAGGAGTGCTGGCTGCTATCTGTGCAATAATACTTAAGATTCTTTTTCTGTATCTTGCAACATTTAATGCCTGAATCTAGTTGCTGAAGTCAAAAACAGTTTGACGCAGTTTTCCTGCTAGCAGGAATAGCAGTCTTAAGATTGCAGGAAAAATGTAAAAATGGAATTCATATGCACTATGAACATTCAGATCTCAGCAAAGAAATAATTTCATTTAACTCTGTTGTCAGTCCTGATGCTGCTGTTCTGAAGTTGAAATACTGCACTGGCTGCACTGAATATGAGCAAAATCCATTGCCCCAACAATGCAGATAGATTCCCCACAACAAACAGAATTTTTAAGGTCATGTGGCTCTAATGGACTAACAAAACTAGCTGTGGTACCAGATCTGACCTGGTCTTCTCTGGAGACCAGACCAAAGGGTTATTTGAATGCCTAATGTCAAGTGAGACAGTAATAGGAATCAGGTGCTGCTATAGTGTTTATTCATGTAACTTCAATTAAAGACAGACATTCTTCCGCTGCAACCACTCTTTTTTCTGGTGGATTTGTGGTAAAGGAGTCACACACCAACAGGTTGCATAGGAATTCATACGCACAGTGTAACACATGGAGGCAAAGCTAGGATTATCGCTTCCTACTTTTGCATTCCATAGGCTTGCTAAATGAGCCCCATGGAGTGCTGGAACCATTCGGTCATTTGTATGTGCACTGGAAATGTGTTTAGTACTAAAAAATTTGCAGTCTGTCTTGTCTCAAAAAATATGTGGTATTTAATATCCTTGTAATACATTGTATATATATGATGTATGTGTCATACATTTCACAGAAAATAGAACTTCCACTTTTGTCCAGCAAACTCTGTGCCCAAATACCAATTATAACTGAAGGTATAGTGAATGTTTTTAAAGGTCCAGAAGATGGGTTTTAGCAGTATGTAGAGACTGAAATTCTGTTTGTCTTTCCTGCAGCTGGACCATACAGTGGTTTAGGCGAAGTCATCCATCGAGAGAGTGTTCCAATGCACACATTTGCCAAGTATCTCTTCACCTCTCTCCTACCTCATGATGCTGAATTGGCATACAAAGCTGCACTGAGAGCCATGCGGTATGTATACACAAGTCATCTAGAAAGAGCACAAGTAACAGCTGGGAAAAGGGGAGAAAGCTTGGTAATCAAGACGTAGTCTTTTTTCCTAAAAGAAGCATTCTTCTCTTTAAGGAGGAATTATTTTCCGTCATCTCTAAAAGCCATAGGTGTCTATAGTGACTACAGCATAACAACTTATAAATGTACAACTACCATTTATCTACAACTGTAAAACAGCATTCTCTGGTGCAGGTCCTTCTAGAATCCCACTCTTGGGGACATGGTTTTGTATTAAACAACAGCTTTAGCACGTGTGTTTTCTCCCCCATGTGTTTTTGTGTGTCTGTGTGTGATAGTATTGGTGAGGAAATGAGGCAAGAGGCATCTATCTTATCAGTATTCTGAGAGTCATCTGTTGCTTAGACTGTTGAGTAGGACTGTTTGTTCTGTTGGCCTTCTTTATATATTAACTCTCAATGATAGATTTGAAAGCATATGGTGTGATCTGAGCCAGTACTTTTTTCTTGTGCTTCATTACAAAGCAGTCTTGCCCACTTCCGGCTGAAGTTGGGATTTAAAGGGAGTATGTCATATGACAACAAAATGTCTGACTTGCATCCTGTTTGTCTTCAGTAATCAGGGAAAAGATGTTTCTCAGAGTGCTCAGTGTGTGTTGGCTTTATCTCAAGGCAGGCCAGATTGGTAATGGTGGCTAAGAAAAGCCCTTTGAAGGATGTTCCAAGGGCCCAAGTGATCAGCCATAAATCTGTTGTCCACATACAATGCAGAGAAGAAACTGGTCCCATCTGAATTGTCTGGTCTCTGTCAAGAACCTTGTAGTTGATGGTTGAAAAAGAATAACCACAACTGAATATTAAGAGCAATCAAGTCCCAGATTTTTTTTTTTTAAAAAGGTGTTGAGTTTTCTTGGTCATTACTATCAGGAATGATTGCACAGTGATTGAAGGACACACTGTCCACATATATAGTGTTTCACTTTGTCAGACAGGTTGTGTCGTAGTGGTTTGGAGGGGTGTACCTCTGGAGCTGTTTCTGGAGAAAACAGTTCTGTGTTCAAAGGACTAAACAGGAGGGCATGCATAAGAACAAAACATAAGATACTATCAGGTCAGGCCAAAGGTCTTCCTAGTCTGTTGGGTTTGGTTTTTGGTTTGTTTTTTGTTGGGTCATTTTTGTTTTGGGTTTTTTGAGGGGTTTTATTTGTTTGTGGTTTGGTTGTTTTTTGGGTTTTTTTGCCTCTGAGGGTGTCTAGAGATGAATGTTGAGGAAAAAGTCTTAAGAACTACGAAGAGTGACCTTGCATAATTGCTTCTTACAGTTAGCATTTTGGGAAGTAGACTGAGAAGACGAAAGTGCATTACTGATGAACTATTGAGAACATTCCAATATATGATCAAAAAGCTCTCTGCCATCTAAGTACACCCCTCTTCTCCTATCACAAGTTAAGTGTGTCAATAACTCTGGTCATGTCAGATCAGCCAGCCAGACAGTACAAAATATGGTGGGTGGGAATTTTTTTTGGTTGTTTGTTTTTTGGGGGTTTTTTTGGTGTGGTTTTTTTTTGAGTTTTTTGGGGGTTTTGTTTGTTTTGTTTTTTAGGGGAAAAAGGGGCTAATTGTATAAATTAGACTTGTGTACTTCTATTTATTTTCAGTTACTACCTTAAAGTGTTTCTTAGATATTGTTTGTGTGGAGTTTTCCTCCTTAAACTAAATTACTAAAACCACACTGAAAGACTGGAGTAGACATCCATCAGCAGCTTTGCACAGTGCACTGAATGCTTCAGTGAATATGATAGCAGCATGCCATTGCTTTTGAACAGGTTTTTGGGCTTTCCACAGAAACCAATCATAACTGAAAACTTCCTTTCTGGAAGTTTCCTTTCTCAACTGGAAAAACAAGCAAGACACTGAAAGATCCAAATGATTACAGGCTGCCCAGAGAGGTTGTGGAGTCTCCTTCTCTGGAGACATTCAAAGCCCGCCTGGATGCGTTCCTGTGTGATCTGATCTAGGTGTTCCTGCTCCAGCAGGGGGATTGGACTAGATGATCTTTCGAGGTCCCTTCCAATCTCTAACATTCTGTGATTCTGTGAAATCTCCAGTTAGTCATGGGTAGCTCCAGCCATCTTTTGGTATGAAGCTGTCATCTCAGCCAAAGAAGTTACTTTTCAAACAGACCAGTATAAGAAAGAGTTGTCTGTTTGTTTCCTTCTGGTAAAATCGCAGAAGACATCAGCGTAATTGGGGCTGTTCTCCATAGCCCTTTTGTCATCACTTTATAAGACAGATAAGAGTTCAGCCCTAGACAATAATCAGTCTTTCTGTATTTTGATATTTGCGCTCTTCAGAAAAGTGGACTGCTGTCTTAAACTGTGGCGATGGCATATTTAGACACTTTCTATTTCATGTCTGTCTGCATTCCTCAGCACTTCTCAAGTTCTCCTGAAGAAGGTTGGTTAGTCTTTCCTTTTGCACCAAAGCAATAGATAGTTCGGTGTATAAAGGACTTTCTATGCAAACCAAATGAAAAAGTAACTCAATACTGCCTTGAGGAAGAAGGAAGCACACATGAAGATTGAATGTCTGTCTCATGGTTGTGAGGTTGAATTGATCAGAAGAGGAAAACCTGATCATCTTTTCTTCGTGGCAGGGAGGAAGTGGATGTGTCAAGGGCAAAAGTCTCGTGTGAATATTAGTAGAAATCTGTGCGGCTGATCACACTTTTAGAATTGGAACATATTTCTTTCTTCACTCCAACATTTATTAAAGAAGTTAACTTCCCAAGAGTCCAGCTAGCTGCTCTCCAGATTTAAGGGTTTTAGTGTCAGTCTACACACAAGTCTACATGGGTCAATGACCCACGATGGCGTCTCTGGAATATTTTACCTCTCTGTGTTCAAAATTATCTGTTGCTGCTTCATTTTTTTTAATCCTATTTTAGTGTTTGTAACACTTGGTATAAAATCAGTTGAAGCTGAGACCATAAAGCCTTTCACGCATACACCTCAGTTCTGCAAGTATAGGGTTGTGCTATCCTTGATGGTCATTCTGTCTACAGTTCTCTACTTGCAGCACTGAAACATGTGGAGCAGAGCCTTGGATAATGGGGATCTGCAGTTGACTGCTCACTTGGAGTCTGAACTTGAATGTGTAGCTTACTTTGGCTGATACCTTTTAAGCCTGAATTTCACCAAGGCTTTGGGAGCCAGGCTTCATTGGTGATGTTTAATCACGTAGTAGCTTTGCTAAAACCTAGCTATGTCTGGAAGGGGCGGGAGGGGAAGTGTAGAATGCTAAATCTGCCTGTGCTTGTTCTGATGTTCCCTAATCTTGCCAAAATTGCATGAAAGCCACCAATTCACAATAGCATTTCTTTTCACAGTAAAATAACATAGAAGCTGGCAATGAAGTTAAAATTGACAAAATATTTCTCTAAAACAGGCTCGTTCTTTCATGGTCTTTGCCTATTTACTGTTAGTTGTAACCTAATAATCCCTTTCTGCATTAGGTAGTTGGGATTTTTACTGTTTATTGAAACCATCTAATAATGCATCTCTTTCACTTACCCACTCTATGCTTGGTGTCTCAGTGGCACTAGGGAAAAGATTTGACTTTTGACACAAATCGAAAAGGAAGTCCTTTTTTATATATTAGCATGCACATACATGCATCTGAAAACGTTAACATAACCTGCTGATAGTTATTTAGATAGTGTGTTTTATTGATATGTGCCTACTAGATAGTTTCCTGTGTATTCAAAATTACGTTTCTCAGGGAATTCTTAAAGATACTCTGATATGCTTGAGGAACCTATGGAAAACTGGTGGAAGTTAAGTTTTCTCTTACTGGAAAAATAAGACGTGCACTCCCGTTACTTAAAGAACTTAGGTATTTCTTTAAGTGCAAGAAATTGTAATTTATGCTTAAATGAGCTTATTCCATAAGAAATATTCTACCACAGAAGATCATAATGTGTTGGATTGCAATATTCAGTAGCTGCAGTTTTATTGATAAGAGAGATCCAATTTTGGTTGTCCTCCCAGATGATTTCCTGCTAGAAAATCACTTGCATATGAAAGCTGGTAGCAACAGAACTCAGATGTTAACACTCATCAAGAAGCTAAACACTGGAAATGCTTTTCTAGTGGACATTGTCTTATTATTATTACTTGATGTCTCATTAACCATTCATGTCCTGAAGCTATGCTTAGTTGTATTGAATAAAAATGCCTATTTTTGTTCATGCCTAATTTTTGTGTTGGCATTTATATAGTATCTAGTGTACTGTTTGTATGAAGTGTATTGTAAGAGCCATCAGTTGAGTCTCTGTTGTGTGGGCCACCACTTGTGTTGTAGTAGTCAACAACGAACACGTTAATTTCAATTTACTAAGTATGAATTCTCCTTGGTGGATAAGACTGTTGTAGATTGATGCATACTCAAATTTTTGCTTCAGGACTAGAAATGGAGTCTGAAAAGTAACTTTAAAGGAAACTTTCTCTGTCACTGCTGTTTGAGAGCCTAACATCAGATTATTGTACATTAAAACATGTTGGTAGACTGAAGTTTAGCATAGTTGAACAGTGAAATGTCCTTTTTCATATATCTGGATTTATTGCAAGGTCAAAATCTGAATGACTTGTTGAATATACCTCTCCCTTACTTCGAACATTTGTAAGTGAAGAAAGTGTGTTCCAAATATTGAGAGATATTTACATGTTCTCAGTACAGTGGAAAACTACTCCACTTTCCTTCCTGAGGGCCGCGGTTCAAAGACTGAAACAAGGCAGGGAGAAAAGCTTAGCTCTTTGTATAATACAAAAAGTCTGCTGCCTTGATTACTGGGTGGCTGAATTGTCCTGTGAATTCCTGCAGGTTTGGCAAATGGACTTTAAGATTTCCCAAGACGAGAAATGGTTTTCCAATCTTTAATAGCTATTTTGGCACATTTCACAAACAAGATCAGGTGTTCTTGTAGCTCTAGTTTTGCTTATCAGTAACCTAATGTAATAATGATTTAATGAAAGAGGATTTCTTCCTTATTTCAGTTTGCTAGTATTGGAATCTACAGCTCCTTCAGGAGACATGTCCCGCCCACACCACATTGCATCAGTTGTTCCAAACCGGTATCCCCGCTGGTTCACCCTAAGTCACATTGAATCCCAGCAGTGTGAGCTGGCATCGACCATGCTAACGGCAGCCAAAGGTACGTTGCTGTCAGTTATGTAATCAACTAAATGTATGCTTTAATATTGCATGGAGTAAACAGGTTGTAAAACTTGTTTAGGAATCCAAGTTGCAGTCTGACAGGGCCTTGAAATGGATACAACAAACTGAACTGTCTTAAACCTATCACTTAATTTTCTAGCAAGTAATTAATCTGGCTAGGTCGTAGCCAGATAAGCTTGATTTGAGGCTGATGAGACAGCTTTTTGTTCTCTGACACATGATGTAGACTGAGACCCAGCAGTGAACAAATCACTTCTAAAATTCACAAATCAGGATGACTCTCTGCTGTGACTTTTTTAATTATGAAAGGTTTCTAAAAGCAAACTGTGTCTATCTGAAACGTCATCCTATTGCACAGCAAAGGCAGTCTCAAATATAATGCATCTCTGGATGTTTTGGGAGCTTACTCCATTTTGGTGATTCTGTTTACACTTTGCAGGTGATGTTCGGAGGCTGGAAACAGTGTTAGAATCCATCCAGAAAAACATCCACTCCTCATCACACATCTTCAAACTTGCCCAGGATGCATTTAAAATAGCAACACTCATGGACAGCTTGCCAGACATCACTCTTCTGAAAGTTTCTCTGGAATTGGGTCTTCAGGTATTTCCCTCGTTCGTTATTATTACAGTAGAAGACAGGAGTGTGACCCGCTCTTGGTGGGTATATAGCTTTTAAGCACTGAGTACCATGCTCTCTTTGGGCTCTATCTGGAGCTTTTAGATTTTGTTTTCTGATACAAAGCTCAGTGGATTGGTAAACACAGACCAAGGGTCTGCAAAGCCCCTTTGTGCCATTCGGGTGGAAGAGAGCTCGGGAGTGGCTGGCTGCAGGGCACTCTTCTGTTCAGCAGTGAGAGGGGACCATTGCAGTGGGTTCAGGAGTATATGCAGGACTGGCTAGAAAGCAAAATTACTCAGCTTGACAGAAATGCGTTGTATTTTCTTCATGGCTTTGAGGGATTTCTTACCATCCTTCCCTTCCTTTCCCTTAAGTGAGATTTGGGAGGCATTCACCAAGTATCATTCAGTGGTAGCAGTACACTTTGGATGTCACTGTATTCTTGGATACCCTTTTGTGGTTGATGGTGTCATCAGAATGTCTTCACTGAGATCTAGTGAAGGAAATATCATGAACCTGTACTTTCTCCTCAGTCCCAGAGTGTGGAACAAACTGGTGTAGAACTTGTCCACTGTTCTGCCCCAAGCTTACAAAAGTGTTTTAAGAATCCTGAAGGTAGTTTGCTTTCCAGAAGGAAGATGCACAGCATTTTTCTGATAGTAACTCAACAGCTTTGTAGATTTCTGGACTAATGGTTTTCCTGCAAAAACCTTAGTGTCAGCACTGTCTCTGGTGTCCTACAGATGCTTCCCACTTCCCTGCCCCTCTGACTTAATGGCAGTTAGATTGTCTGTATTCACTATCTAGTATCTGACGACTTACGATGTTTATGTGCCCTAGAAAACTCTCTCCTTTCAAGTCATAAACTAAACAGCAGTATCCTCACAGGTACACTGTTCTGCCTTCAGCTATAGCAATGACAAGTGGGCCTGATTGGTCTGAGGAGATGATACCAACAATTCCACAACTCGCTGGGATCTCTGTGACAGAAAAGCCTCTTATGTTGTTCTAGATTTGGGAGTAATTTTGTGACTCCTGGGTTCTTTCTCCCTATTTCCAATGGCAGCATGTGTTATGGGCCTAAGCAGAGGGAAAGCTTTTAAACTGACTGTGTAAAGAGTTCATCAACATGGCCAGATGGGCTTGGAGCATCTCAGGTGTATTCTGTCCTTCAGAACCTTACAGACACAAATGCTGTAAGATCTACAGGTACAGGAGGGGCTTCTGTACCTCTGTTTGCCTGTTCTATGGTATATCAATGCAAGTAAGTATTACTGCACATATGCGAACAGGTACTGGTGGCAGAACTGCTGAGCAAGTTAGTGCAGGTGATCACTCAGTTTGGCAATTGGTGTCCTTTCCGCCCAAACCTGTGAATGAATGAGGAAAGAAATAAACCGCCTTCCAACGTGCATGATGAAGGGGTTTCGTATTGGTGCAGGATCTAATGGTTGGTTGGCCATTTCTTGTTATCTCTTATGGGTGGTGAGATCTTCTGTCCTCAACTAAGAAATTTTTATAAAGATCCATCAAGACAAAGTCACAGTTATTCTGTGTGAAGAGAGCTTGGCTTTCAGATAGGCTACGTAATTCCCAGGGGCCTCTTGTCATTTGCAGACTTCCTGAGTTGTTGAGAAGCTCTGTTTGATTGATGGCATGGATCTTGGATAGCTCTTGGACAGATGGGGAACTCCCTTTTAGGAAGAGGTAGCTCAAGAATGTATTGAGCAGAAGTGAAATAGTTCTTTGGCTACATGTGCTACGGTATAAATTAACTTCAGCTCTTCCTTGATCAGGACATCAATACGTGGTTTATTTGAAATCTTTGGGGTTTTTCTCATCAGTAAAGAGCCCTTCTCTTCCTGTTCTCAGCTTGTCAGGTTGATAAAGTGGAAGGTACCTAATTCCAGAAGAGTTTGTCAAGAAACTTTTCCGTGTCAAGAAACTAGATATGGTATTGCTTTTTTGCTCTCGAGTTAATGACTGTCTGTACTGGAACTATTATTATGCCCACTCCATGTGCTGAAGGCTCTGGTGACTGCTGATCCTTTCACAGACCACCACAGTAAGGGAAGCTACCAGAGAAGACTTTCAGAGAAGTCATCATTCACACCATTATTTTAATTTTACCTCCTTCCTTCCCTTACCAGTAGCGGAATTCAGTCCATAGCCCTTTATTTTCTCTTGGATTCACGTTACTTGAAGGAATTTGAAAATTCATCATGGATATTGGAAGAGTGTTTGCCTTTATATGTGTGAGTCAATACAGGAGGTCACCTCGACTTCTTCCTTTTGATGGACAGAAAGGGAAAGATAATTGCATTCCAGAGCATTTTGACTTGGAGCTGCCTGTTTTTTTTCCAGAAGAACTTCAAGAAAAGGGTGGTTCCATGATTTACCTTAGCCATATTTTTGTATTTTAAAATGTGTTGTGTTGCTCCTTACAGATGAGTTTCCTTTCTTTCAAAATGCTATTCGCCAATCTAGCACATAGATTACTGTTAAAATGATACCACAACGTCTGAGGCCAACAAAGCTGGCCTTATCCTTTAGCTTTGTGTGACATGCAACCAAACACGAGGGTCTCAACGTGGGAATGTTTAGAGGCCAACATGGTCGCTTGTAAACAGACTTCTTAAAGATCATCTGTGCATTTGTGTTCCTCAGCAATCTTTCTGCATTCTTAATTATCCTACCTACAGTGTATCTAAAGGTGGCAGGAGTAACAAATATGACAGCGGGCTACATACCACTGTGAAGTCACCTTAGATTGGAAGGGGATATGGGTTGAGAACCCTCTTACAAATACTGCTGACTCCAAGCTGTTTTGTGAGTGCATTTGTTGAGTATAATCTGTAAAGTTTTGTTGAGTAAAATCTGTAGTCTGCTGAGAACTCTACGATTGACTATTGTACTCTTTATTTAATTGCTACAAATAGTAATACCATAGTATGATCACTGATGTTGTAAGAGGAAAACTACTTGCTTTCTTAACCTAGATATCTGTGGGGTCTGTCCAGGTAGCTGGAGGAAATTTTACATGGAATTCCCGTGCAGTTTTACTGAATAAACATATTTGCCCATGTATTGCGAAACAACACAGGCAATAACTGCAAGTGATGTAAAATATGGGCCCTACAATGAAAGCTTAAAGTCCCTTTTTCAGGATTCTGATAGTTTTATGATGGAACTTCTTTGCAGAGACTCCTTGTTAACAAAGAGAAATCATTACTGTGGACTTCTTAATAATACCTGAATATGTCTGGAATTGTATATATGTGTGTCTTTGTAGGATAAGCAGACGGTCAAATCACAATACACTAACTCCTGTCAGTATTGTTGAAGTCAATGAAAAGAAATGCAGATGGGTGTAAAATGAAAAGGGTTAGTTTCTCCAAGAGTTGACATGTTTCCACTTTAAATACTACTATGCATAGAGGGAGAAGACACGATATAATTTAATTTGAAGAATTGGTAATCGATTGGGCTTTTTTTGTTACTTGGGGGTACTTTTTGTGTGGGTTTTTTTTTCTTCCTCATGGATAAAACAGTCTGTCATCTATCCTTGAAGGATCTGCAGTTGGAATTACTCTCTGCATGCTATTCTAAAATAGCTGAGCAATATTTTTCAGATCGTTTGATATATTGGCTAATAAATAGGTAACAGCATGGAGAGGGCAAGAGACTGCCATTTTGAACCTTAGTGTATTTGAGTAACTTAAAATCCCTGATTGTTGGTATATTGCCTTGGTTTGCAATAGGATTAATTTGTATTTTGTTTGTATTGTTTTAATAGGTGATGCGGATGACATTGTCAACATTGAATTGGCGACGGCGGGAAATGGTGAGGTGGTTGGTAACATGTGCAACAGAAGTAGGTATGTTCTGAGATGCTTCTCTTGTCAGCTAGTCTTAGAAAGCTTGATCTTGCTTGTCAACACCCAGCTTCTGCAAATGTGTCCCACTTTATATTCAACTATAAAATTCCTTTGGTGAGAAGACATTATGGCAATGAGTGTTTTCTTTGGGCACAGACCAAGTGAGACAATAGTTCAGTAATGCAGTGTGACTTACTGCCCCGCAAGGTGGTTGTGTTCATAACCTCATGGGAAATAGCCCAGTTTTCCCCTTGTCCTGTCTATGACAGGTTTGGGTTTGAGGCTGCAGTAGAAAAAAGGCTCGTGGTTATGGGCTGTTGCACTGTGCTACAACTTTGCTTGCTCTGAAAGGCAGGTGAGAGGGTTATCTGGTCAACTGTGGGAAGAGGAACCAGAAAACAGGTGAATGAAATGCTGAGAATACCTTCCACTGTCTGGCAGACAGGACCTCATGAAGGGGTTCTCATTGTTAGGGATTTTTTTTAAGCCCCTGGGTAAATCCAAGCTTAGCGTGTAATGTGTTTTGTTATCTGGCTATGGTGTTGTGCAGGCCTCTCGTTTGCACTGGGAGCAGAACTAGCCTTATATTTAGAGGACAGCAGTCAGAGAATAGTGCACCTAGGAGGACTTCATGTTCGTTTCTGGGCTTTGCCATAGATTTCCTGTGTGTCTTGATGAGGCATTGCTTAGGTTTTGTATTCCAGTTTATCATCTGCAAGCTGAGGATATAGAATCTGAAAGTGAAGATGAGTGCATTAAAAACCATGTAGGTATCAAAAAAAAAAAAATCAGCGGCTGTGGTAGTGGGGACAATATAAGTACTTATGATAAGGGAGCAGTTTTAATTGTCACTAAAGGTATTTCTGGAAACAACATGTACCTGTGGTATCCATCATATTTGAGAAGTCATGGCAGTCTGAAGTTGTTGCTGACTAGAAAAGGGGAAGCATAACCCCCATTTTTAAAAAGGGGAATAAGGAAGACCTGGGAAACCGCAGACTGGTCAGTCTCACCTCTGTGCCTGGCAAAATCACAGAGCAGATCCTCCTGAAAACTATGCTAAGGCACATAGAAAATAAAAAGGTGATTGGTGACAGCCAGCATGGCTTCACTAAAGGCAAATCGTGCCTGACAAATTCGGTGGCCTTCTACAACAGGTTTACAGCATTGCTGGATAAGGGAAGAGCAACTGACATCATCTACGTGCAGTTGTGCAAAGCCTTTGACACTGTCCTGCATGGCATCCTTGTCTCTGAATTGGAGAGATGTGTATTTGATGGAAGGATCTCTTGGTGGATAAAGAACTGGCTGGATGGTTGCACTCAAAGAGTTGCGGTCAACGGCTCAATGTCCAAGTGGAGACTGACAAGTGGAGTTCCACAGGGGTCGGTATGGGGACCAGTGTTGTTTAACATCTTTGGGGACATGGATAGTGGGATTGAGTACACCCTCAGCAAGTTTGCTGATGACACCAAGCTGTGTGGGGCAGTTGGCATGCTGGAGGGAAGGGATGCCATCCAGAGGGACCTTGACAGGCTTGAGAGGTGAACCTCATGAAGTTCAGCAAGGTCAAGTGCAAAGTCCTGCACATGGGTTGGGGCGATGCCAAGCACAAATACAGGCTGGGCAGAGAACAGATTGAGAGCAACCCTGAAGAGGAGGACTTGAGGGTGTTGGTTGATGAGAAGTTGAACATGACTTGGCAAATGTGCACTTGCAGCCCAGAAAGCCAACCGTATCCAGGGCTGCATCACAAGAAGCGTGACCAGCAGGTCGAGGGAGGTGATTCTTTCCCTCTACTCCACTCTTGTGAGATCCCACCTGGAGTACTGCGTCCAGCTCTGGAGTCCTCAGCACAGGAAGGACATGGAGCTGTTGGAGCAACTCCAGAGGAGGGCCACAAAGATGATCAGAGGGCTGAAGCACCTCACCTATAAGAACAGGCTGATAGTTGGGGTTGTTCAGCCTTGAGAAGAGAAGGCTTCTGGGGGACTTTAGAGCAGCCTCCAAGTACTTCAAGGGGGTCTACAGGAGAGATGGGGAGGCACTCTTTATCAGGGAGTATAGTGATAGGATGAGGGGTAACAGTTTTAAACTGAAAGAGGGTAGATTTAGATTAGATATTAGGTAGACATTTTTGCCTGTGAGGATGGTGAGAGACTGGAACAGGTTTCCTGGAGAAGCTGTG